TTCATATGTTGTGAGTCACAAGGAGGGCTTTCTCTTAGGCTGTTTTCTCTGTACCTTGATACTTTGGAAAGGACCTTTGGAGATCATCTGCAGAAAGTGAAGTTGAAAAGGGGGAAGAAAGAATATGTACTAAAGCTAGGGTAGCTGGGGGGGGACCGTGAGCACAAGGCAGTGGGACACAACAGTAAAAGAACTGGTGGGGAGAGAGGAGGCAGTGGTAGAGCTGTGAGGAACTGAAGACTCTGGAAATGTAATTAAAAGCAGTAGGCAGCTTTACAGATATTTCTGGAAGGTCTGCCTGTTGTTTTTGCATTTTTTCACTCGCCAGTCAAAGGCGTAGATGTATCCTTTTTTTGTACTTACATGCATCCAATTCGAAACTAAATGTGAACTTTTCCATCAGCGTTCCTGTAGGTATACTCAGGAAGCTTGTGGATGTTGGGCCTAGACAAACTATAACAGAAATATTCTGATCTTTGATCATGCCTAATATTGGAACAAGCAAATTGATTTTTATTCCCATTCTATTCCCATTGTATTTCTGTCTTTCAATCAAAAAGCATTTTCCTTTGGTGCACTTTTAACTGAGGCAGTATGAAGGAGGAAGGGCTAAGTACTTGGGTGATGGATTTTGTGTAGGCAAACTCCCCCCCCCCCCCCCTTTTTTTTTTTTTTTATAAAATTCTCCTTGGGGGATTTCCATAGAGTATCAGGTTTAAACGATGCGAGAAAGAACATGTATTAAACTTAGTACAGAAAAGGTCAGTGTCATCTTATATACAACTGCATCCCGTTCCCCCCCCCCCCCCCTTTTTTTTTAATTCTAATCAAACTTAACTTCTCCCTTGTTGCTGTATAGCTACCAGGGAAGTTTTTGCCATACCTTGGTGAAAATGTGAAGGTTGAAACTGCCAAAAGTAAAAATGTTTGTTCTTGGTGGGCTTATAATTTGGCAGTCAAATGAGGTTAGTGTTGGTTAGCTTCACAGTTCAAAATACCTATGCCAGGAGGCTGTGGGCCAAGTGTTTAATTTGAGGATTCATCCTGCTATAGCAAGTTGGCAGTAATCTGAAATGGTTAGTGGTTGTAGTTCATGCTCTGAGCCATACTGTAACTTTTTTTTTATTTGGTGGGAAGAATGTGGCCTTTATCTCTGGTACTGATCCAGTATAACAGCGGTGTAATTAAATAAAGCATTTCAGATGGCATATGAAGATCAGAAACTTATGTATTGTAGCAGTTGCAGTGAGAGTGAAAATAAAATTCCGTACCAGTCCATGTTGTTCTTTAGTTAAGCTTACAGCACTTTGTCCATATACAATACGAAGAGCTTCTTTACGCTGTACAGTATGGTTGGTAGGAAAGGCAAGGATAGTCAGGTAATGGTATTGCTAGATTATTAAGGTCTCTGCCTGCAGTACAAAAAAATAACACACCCCCATGTCCCCACTGTCCAGAGGAAATAAACCCGCAATTAACAAGGTTCCAGGAGTGAATCTGTGTGCACGCCATCCTTACGCTTGCCTGTTAACAGCAGTGTCTTGATAGAAACTATTGCCACATTTCCTTTTCAGGCTACTGCGAAACCATCCTCTAAAACCAGTATGCAGCATTTGAAATCCAAAATAGCTACAGTTAGTTAGAATGGCTTGTTCTGTTGTGTTTCATTTTAAAGGGAATGTTTTTCTCAAACAGGAGATCTATCTTGACGTTTTTACACATCCCTGGTGCATTGAAAAGGAAATTTAGAGAGACATGCTGTGTCTAGATCTCAAATACCCTGTGGTTAGAAGAGACTTTGTGTTGGGCTAAAGTGTTCAAGGTTTTGAACAAGCGGGAGAACATTCAATTAGAAGCTACCTGTGGTTTGCTCGCTATAAAAGTACAGCTGCGTTACACCGATAGGATAAACATCAAATGCTGGATTTCTTTTGTTAATTCATGTTGATGACAACATTGCTCACTTGGATGTCTTTTTGTGATATTATGTACTAAAGAAATTATGGAGAGGATAGAATCAAATAGTCAATAGAGGAAATGTAAGAATAAGATTGCCCTTGATCTGAATTTACTTCCTTTATTCATCTGCATTCTAATACAGTCTTTATTTATATGATTGGTTTCTTCTCCCAAGATGCTACTGCATTCATTTCACAGGGTAGATCTGTCTGTAGGACTGAATAAGGGAGCTGTCTGCAGGACCATACCCTTGGCTGTTGGAGAGGTTATGATGAGTGGGATGAGTGATTGCAGAGACAAGAAGGATAAGTCTCATGGTTACAGCAACTGAGTTCTGGCAGGTTCTTTTTCTGAACCTGGTTTGGTTACTTCAAGTGCATGTTCCACAGGCAGTCACTAGTTCAGGGTTTTTGCAGGCAACCAGCTTAGGCGTCATTAGTCAATTTTTAATATATTTCCCTAGGTTTTTAAAAAAAAAACCTAAAAACCTGACACAAATTGTATGTTGTAAGCCATGCCAAAACCCTTCATGGTTCACTAGCATGACTGAACAGGTTAGATGCACTGCATAATCCTTTGTCATTTTAGCCAGGAGAGGAGCTGAAAGCAGTACTGTGTTGTCATCTTCTGTGTGTGCCCGCAGAAGTAGCAGGGGAGCGCTCTTGCTTGGTTTGCACAGGACTGAAGAATTAAGAGACTTGAAAATCTGTGCTTCTGTTTTAGCATCAGGCTTAGGCAGTTGCAGATCCCTTTGAGAGGTAACAGGTGTAGAGATGTCATTTTTCAAAGTCACCGTTCTTGCACCCTAACCTGCCTCAGCTTTGCTTTGCACCCTAGTCCAAACCTCCAAGCCCAGTCATTCCTTCCTCCTGGTCTTTCTTCCTGGACTTTTTATCTGAGCTATTATCTCTTCTCCTATCACATCTTCTTGTTCAGTGTTCTCCCCTAGCTTTGTCCCAGGCTTTTTGCCATGTGAATCCTTCACTCTCTTCTCATCCAGTCTGTGCTGTTTCATCGCTTTGTACTGCCTGCTTTCTCTTGATAGACATTTAGTTGCTGGTTACCTCTTTTAGGGTCCCACTCTTACCCTGATGCCTTTTGGGACGAACGGCTTCCCTCTCATCTGGAATATAGATTCACTAGCAGGGTTCAAGAGAATAGAGACAGGACATACTGAATGTGCCTCTCCATACTTACTTTCTGTACTGCTTACTGTGTTTAAAAAAAAATAAATCTGCAAAAAGTCCTGTTCACCACCTCCTGCTAGAGTGTGCTCAACTGGCTTGTGAGGCTGGCTCAGTCAAACCTGTCCCTGAGTAAGATCTCTAAGGGGGTGGTAGCATGTATGGCACAGATGGCATCTTCAGGAACGTAGGTGCCAGATCTTAACAAGCTTCTGTGAGCACGTGCTAGCTGAATTTTTTTTTTTCCCATTTTGGTGTCTTAGTCTTGACACAGGGAAAAAACCCACCACCAAACAAAAAAACCTCCTAGGAAAAGCCCAATCTGCCTTCTTGAATCTTGTTTCAAAAACATGGGACAATTGCACCTTCTTGGCAAAGCATAAAATAAGTCAATTCACTTCATTAAAGCACCAAACTTCTGCAAAAATTCACCTTAGGGCAAGCATGTAGCATAGCATCCTGTAAGCCGAAATATATGAAAGTTGGGAATGTTAAAAGCATTTAAAGTCAGAATTGTATAAGAAAAGACGTTTGAATAAAAACAATACTACCAGTTAAAATTTTAATTCAGAGAAAAGTTTATTTCTGAAAAGCCTTTTGCTGATTAAAGTGATAGATGTAGTATACTGGTAATTACTTTTGTTCTGGATTGGGTTATGTTTTTTCCTGGAGAATCCTGGCTATGAAGTGTTTTTGCACCCTTAGTTACAAAAAGTGTTTGCAGGTGTTTTGTTGTCTTGATTCCTTCAGTCCAGCTGTATCTCAGCAGACGTGGTTATGTGAGCAACCATAAATGTCTGCTGGTTTTTATTATTTGTCTCCTTTACATTGAGTCTCTGCACCTCTCTACACTGTCCTGTTATTCACACTTGTGCAAAGTGTGGAACAGTTGCTCTGAATTTGTAATATATTGTGCTTATTTTGCACAACATTTGGGGAAGTGGAGAACTGGGGCCCTTTTTGTCAGACCTCTGATGTTGCTGTGGGCTTTGTTTTCCAGTTCTGTAGAAAATGCCTTGATCTTGAGAGGGGGTGGTCTGAACTGCATTCTTGTTATGTTGTTTCTGATCAAAAGAGTTTACAGGTGAAATAGTGTTTTCCTTTCTTTTTTTTTTTTAAATGAGCCTTTCTAGATGGTAATTTACTGTATCAATGCCTTCCTAGCCATATGGTTGCATATTGCATTCTGAGTATTTTTATGTTCTTGAATTTTTATGTGTTAATAGGCTTAGTAGGAAAAAGAAATACCAATGAGAATAATAGCTTCTGAACATCCAGACTGCAGGGTACCAGGTTACACATCTTACCCTATTTGTTACACTTCTTGAAGGCAAGCTGGTATGCTGCGGTTAAGACTTTGTGTGCAAGTGACGAGCCACTGAAAGGCTGGAGTGTTACTGATTTACAGAGGCGGGGTGACTTGGGATATTCGGCAGGAAAAGGAACAGGAGTGGTAACAAGCAGCGGTAGTGGTAGTAAAGGCAGGAGCAGGTTCCACAGTTAGAAGATTTCCCAGTGTGAGTCAGTGAATGCACAGCTTCCCAGCTAGCTGTCAGGAGGGACCCGAAACTGAGTATTGCAAGAGATTCAGGGTTCATGTTTATCATGCGAAGTCATGTGATCTTACTAGATCTTAACTTGCCAACTTAGCCTTACTCCGAGAAGATCCTTTGCTGCAGTGCTTAACAAAACAAAACAAAAAAGCGAGATAGAGGGGGGGAGGAAAAAAACCCAGAAGGAAAAATAAAGAAAATTGTGCAATGTGTGCTTATGCCTACATCATGCCAAGGAGACACTTAACAGTAAATAATCTGTGTATCCCTGAGGTAAGATACTGTTTCTGCTTTCCCTGCACAGTGCTGCTGCAGCACGGAGCTGATCCAAACATTCGGAACACCGATGGGAAATCTGCACTGGATCTGGCAGACCCTTCAGCAAAAGCTGTGCTCACAGGTAAGATGCATACATCTCTCAGCAGCGTTACCTGTAGTTCATTTTGTGTGTATAAGTTCAGCATTGTAAGAGCCTTCTGCCTTTTTGGATTTTCTGTTGTGTAAGAGCATTTTAAAACTGTCTTTTACCAGATTTCATATTGATGTAACTGTCGTTAATCTGCTGTGCTGCTATAGGATTGCTTACTCTATGCTAATGCTGTAATTTTCTGTTACAATATCATTAATTATTCACTGTGTTTCTGTGAGTTTTTTTCTTTTTAATTGCTACCCAATATACAGATTGAATAGGAGCCCCCAACCCCTGCAAAAAAAAAGAAGGAAAAATCAGGTCAATTGTTTTAAGACCTTCACTATTGAGCAAGCAAGGACATTTGTATAACTGTAAAAGTACCTGTGATCTGAAAGACAACCTGCTACTGATTGCAGAGATCAATAGTTACATTATGTTTTGCTGCAGATTCACATGCTACCCTTTCCTTCCTCTTCCTCATCAGTCATTGTAGGTAGAACACTTTCTCACCCACCAATTTTTTTCCTTTTTAGGGGCTATTAGCTGCCAAACAATGTATTTCATGAAAATATTCTACAGATGCAACTTTGTTTTTACACAGCTTTGTTTTTTTTATAAATTAACTGTTGTAGCATACCAGGAAGCATTAAAAGTATAATATAGTAACCTGTCAAATCTGTATCATGAAATACATGGTCCTCTGTGCTGATTTTTGACGTCTAGGAAATAATGTTTAGAACAAAATAATCTTGGATTTTAAAATATATACAATTAGATTTATAGAAAGGGATTCAGTAGCTGAGCTTCATTTGAAGAAATAGCTATTTTTCTTCTTTCGCCTGTATTCCCCTATTCTTTTTCTCTTTTTATTGACAGCTTAATTTATAGGTTATGTGCTATGCAACACCCGTATTCTTTCTTCAGATTATGTTCAGAGCACACCAGCTCCCTTCACTTTGTCAAGAACATTTCCACATCTTTTTTCCAGTGCGCTGACTGCTATACATAATTATCTACAGCTCTGCAGTGATTTGAGAGTGCCTTTGGAACAACGCACTTTAAATACATATGATTTAGTTTAATTACTCAGTGTCAAATTTAAACACATTCCTACAGTGTTAACACTAATGTTAGCTGTGCTAAGCAGGTTAATCTGACTTCTGGTTGTTAATGGGTACAGTTGTACAGATGCTGAGGATGGAAAGGCCACCAGGGAGTCAAGGTACCTCAAAGGTGTTAATGGGTATTTGACATTTAGTTGTGGGGAACTTGGTATACATACAGTTTGGGTGTTCCAGGCTCCGAGCTGCTCTTCAGGCTATGTTCAAAGGTCAGCTTCAGAGGATAGTAGAAGACTTAAGAAAGTATGCGATGGTGACTTCACGTCTGCTCCACTGAGTTCTCTGGGTGCTAGATCACCACCTTGTGCTTTAGGCAATGGAGAGGGCAACGTGTCATAGCAAAGAAGTGGAGATGGATTAGAAGCAGCCCTCTGAGAATGTCCTGTTGAGTGCAGGAAGCGCCCCGTGTCCCTGGCCTCACTCCTAAATGCCTCGCACACGAGCATCCAGTGACTGCAAGCTTCTACAACCAATGGATATCACCAGGTTGGACATATAAACACACACACGCAGAGCCACTTCTGCTGCTATGTAGGTGTTTTATTGTTCATAAAAAGAGGCAATTTTTGTATGTGTTTATTCTTCCTAGCAAGAAAATCAGCTTTTGGTTTTACCAGCTTTGTCCTCAAGGTGGCTCTTGGCTACGCTGGGCCCTCTATGCTGTGCACCTTAGCTCCAAGCTGTGTAAACAGGGTTTGATTCAGGCTTTAGCTGCTCTATGATTCACAGTAACTGAAAAAAAAAAATGACACTGGATGCCATTTAAATGGAAGCTTTCTATTAAGAGCTTAATTTTTCTGGATGCTGCCCTGCTTTTTAGTATCTCTGTTAGGCTTCTAGTTTGTCATGCTTTTTCCATATGTTGTTACCTTCAGGTCTTGCTTCTTCCCTCTGGAAGAAGGGGGCTTAAGGGATTTCTTAGGATCTATCTGGCTTGGGATAATCTTTAGCTACAGCAATGCTTTGCAATTAGGTGCATCAGGACTTAAAGGTATTACTGGATTAAGGATGAGTAGGGTGTATTAACGTAATTTTCAGTATTTAATGTTGAATGGTGGGATTTTAGAAACACTTATATTTAGAGCTTTTAAAAGAAGTGCAGTGATTCTGAAAGCTCAATCTGTAATTGTTACTGTATTTGCATCTTTAAACAGCATGCATGTCAAGGCTGTTCTCATGATGGTTTTTTGGGGTTCCTTTTTCTATCAGTGTCCATGACCATAGTAGACTTTCCACATTGCTGCTGTATTGATTGTTGGAGAACAAGCTTCCTCTTACTACTTTTTTGACCCGGTATTTGCATAAGTTCAGGCACTGATCTTAATTGCTTTGCGAATGAATTGTGATTATAGTCTCTCTTTGACCTCCAACTTAGCAAAAGTGAACAGAAAACTTGTTGGTAATTGATTAAATCTTTGCAATTTGAAAAAGAATCTGCTGTGTAAAAAGTATTTCTGGTGTTCTGGCAGCAAATGCTGAATCCACAATGACTTGTTCTTGTCTGTCTCCCAGTCTAGAATAATGTATAGTGTCTTTTTCTCCTGAACTACAGAAAGGAAATATAATGCAGTAGTTTCTGGGATGACTTCCAGCCATTTTCGTGCAATGTTCTCTTAAAATGTGTGTTTTACAAAGGATACATAATGCAAATGAAAGGCTAATATTTTGATGGAAATGGACTTTGAAAATTTCTTTGCAGATTAAAGTGAATTTTATAGAAATTAAACACCCATTTCCAGCTTCTTAAAAAAAAAAAAGTAAAAAAAGGTTATATAATTGGGGAATCTAATCTGCTTTTTATTACTTAAACAGGAAAGCAGTCTTTTTTCCCCTTCTGCAGGATAAGCAGCATTTGCGTGAGCCAAGCACTTCATGATTGAGAGGGTGAATATCTTTTTTTTTTTTTTTTTTTCTTCCTTAGCATCCCTTACTGTTCCTGAATCTGGTTGTCAGAAAAGGATTGTAGTTGTCTTGTTCTCTAGGCTGAAGTGGTGGTACAGACTCCAACAACATATCGTATCTAAAAAACCAGAGCTGTTACACACATGAGATTAATATCCTAGTTAATTTTAGTTTAGTTTAGTTTAATTGTCTTTGGGGTGTGTGATTTCTGAGATGAGGACTCATCTTTGTTACTGTACATAACACTGTGGGACTCACATCCAGAACAGGGCCTTTGGGAGCTTTTGCACTACAAGTCATATTAGTCTTCATTATTCTATTACCCTGCTTATTGCCTCTTTAAACATTAATATCCCTTTATATCTTTCCTGTACAGTATATGAAGAGCCAATAATATTGTTCATGATTTATGTGAATGATTTATTTTGGTTTTTCACACAGTCATGCTTTTTTTTGCCACTTCCCCATATTATCTGCTATTTGGAAATGCTTTCTCTATGTGAATGGTTGTTCTTTGCGTGGTTTCTAAAGCTGTTAGCAGGAGCTGAAGGCACTTTGGTTGGATAATTTGTTCTTGACTGCTCCATGCCACTGTTTTGCAAGGTTGGTTTTGGTTTGTTTCAAGGATTACTCCCTTGAAACAGGTCAAAATGAAAAAAGTTTGGAAACTTCTGCATCTCAAGATTAAAGGAAGATTTCTTGGGTACGAAATAATGTCTTTGTTAATAGAATCAATTTTCAAAGTTAAACAAGACTCTGATCTTCCTACTTACTATGGAAATAATGTCTTCTATAAACGAAGTGCTGAGGTCCTATTGAGCATTTCTCACTTCTGCTTTTTTGGATGTGAAGGACAGCTTGATGAGTGAAAGTACAGCTGGGCTAAGGTTACCAAAAGTGTTAATGAGGATTCATGTTTTCATCTATTTGTCATGTCAACTTTTTGATTTAAGTGGGGGAGCACAGTCCATGTATTGAAATGTATTTGCACAAATTTTTTTAAAGTGAACTGCCATCTATGCATAATTTGCTTGCAAGGAAGGGAAAAATCTGGTATTTCACTACAAAAAGTTTACTGAACTTTAGAGAATGGAAGATGGATCCTAGGTACAACTCACCCATTTTAAAATTAGCAGGAAGAGAAGAAACAATTTTAGCTTGTGTTTAGTTTTATTTTTACTGTGGCACCTTTACATCTTGACCATCTGAAATCCTAAACTCTTTCCTTCTAGGTTGGTGGTGTTTCCTTTCAGGTACTCTTAGGATTTTGAAAGCATTCTGGATAGACACTATCACTTCCTTATGGGAGGCGCCAACCTCCTCCCCCCTCCCTTTTTATTGATCTAATTCTTATATAGTGTCCTCTGAAATCGGATCATTGGGACAAGGTGTAGCTTCTGTATTTAAGAAACAGTATAATAAACGTTAGTGCAACAGGAGAAGCGTTTTAACAGTAAAGAGGGCAGGTGCTGCTAGAATGGTTTGGGCCATCTATTTATCTGGGTCATCGTCCTTTCTGATGGTGACACTGGGGTCCGCTGCCTTGGAGAAAAGTGCAAGAAACCCAGCAGTTGAGGAATATCTTTGCGCTGCAGAAACTTTCACCTTATTTTATATAGGCTGTTGGCATACGTCTTGAAGCAAGAGGTCTGAAGGGCCTTTTCCAGCACTTGTTTGTGCTTTGAATGGATGTTTTTGTGATTGTTATTTGTTTAGCCTTCAGGCAGGTCTACTCTCCTCATTTTTACCAAGGCCGCCTTGGGAGGAAGCAAGCCATCTGCTCTGGTACACTGGTATGGGTGTCATGTGATGCTTCTATGTTTGGAGTCTGTGGTGATACTTTACATTTGCCCTCTGGAGAATTATAAAGAATATCAGCTTTCCTTCAGGAATGCTGGAGCATTGCTCATCCAGTCTTTGTGGGCAAAATGTACTTGTGGCACAGACCTAACAGATCTACCACTT